TTTTCTCTCATCATTGATGTTACTCTTTCTCCCTCTCCCTCTCCCTTCCTCTCTGAAATCAATTAAAAAATATATCCTCCTATTATGTATCCTCTTTAAAAAATACACACACACTAGTGGCCTGGTGCACAGATTTGTGCACATTGAAAGGAAATTAATTGGAAGAAATATTTTAATATCGCTATTCACCCTTTCTCTATAATAGAAGTGTCAGAGATGAAAGAAAATTAGTAAAATGTATATGAAAAGAATATATAAATTGATTAATAAATAATAACATGATATAACAACAACAAAGACATGATATAAAAACATTGATAAAAGAATGACTGATAAATTTATTAAACTTATTCTAATGTCTCCCTGTATACCACATTAAGAGTAAAAACACTTTCAGAGTGCTTGACTAATTTCCCATGATAAAGTATTTGCAACTTTAACATTAACGGCACACACTCTTCGAACTCGAGAGAAAACAACATGTAACTGACCATGTCCGAAAACGGGTTCAGGTAGGAATATTCCTACTCTGTCTAGAGTTTGTCCTTGTGATTTATTAATAGTCATTTGCAAATGCTGGCATCACGGAAACTGTCTTCTAATTAATTTAAATGGGAGGCCAGTGTCAGACGGGGATCGACAACGACAGATCGAAACACACATGTGCAGTTAGCGCCAGCAAGAGCCTTATATGCATCGCGCATGCATAAGTCAATGTTTATTTTTAAATTGCCAGTGTGTGCTCATATGTACTGGCCAGTCGGACGGACGGACGGTGGTCACTTGGCCATATATATGTCCCAGTGCACAGATTCATGCACATCGAAATGAAATTAATTAGAAGAAATATTTTAATATCACTATAAGCCCTTTCTCGATAATAGAAGTGTCAACCAAATTCATGACCGACAATGACAGATCAAAACAGATGCATGTGTTTGGCGCCAGCAAGAGCTTTATATGTATCACACATGCATGAGTCAACTTAGCCTTTTATAGATGTAGAATAAACTTGCTTAATTAGACCTGCTTTCTGATTTAGCTAAATTTTTTCCAGCCCAGTGAAGCATCCCAACTTCTCTTTCAGGTAATTCGCAGTAACACAGCAGTAAATATCAACACGAAGCAGATTATTATTGTAGATCGCGCAGGGAGAACAAAGGGTAAAATATTTAGCTATAGTAGTGTTTGAGTGTATTCTACACAGTGAGAAAACCTGAAGTCATTTTCAAGGTCCACCATTTCTTTTTCAGTCGGGTCAAGTTTCTAAGCTTTCCAAATCTCTGTTTTCTGGCTAGTGAAAAGAAAATAGGATTCCACCAAGTCTCCTATCTACCTACTCTAGGACTTCTGTGAGGATCAAATGAGATGAGGCATGGGAAAATGCTTCACAAACATTTGGTTAAACTGTACAATGTTTGCACCTGGCTATAAAGCAAGTCGAGTTCCTGGGCTGAGGAAACTCCAAAGAGGCTAGTCACTAGGGAGAGGAAGTCGGGCATTGCTATGTGACGTCATTACCCAGTGCCCACAGTCACCGTTTCTGGGCTGAGCTGGGCTGCATTTTGCACGCTGGGGTCTTGGCAGTGTTGGCTGCGATTTGGTGGGGTGTCGCTCTGAAGTGGTGGCGGGGCCTGTGTCCCATTAGGGGGAAGCTGAGTGTTGGTTTGTCGGTGCCAGGTCCATGGTGCCGTTTATTTTTAAATGGCCGGTACGCATCATAGCAGCCCCGGCATTGAGCATCTGCCCCCTGGTAGTCAGTGGGCGTCATAGCTACCGGGTCAGACAGACAGACACTTAACCTTAGATAAATAGATAGATAGATAGAGTATGTCCCATGTCCCGCGTGGTTCAGGGTTTGGGCTCTGGAGAAGGGGCCGCGTGCAAATGACAGAGACGAGACAAAAAATAATAATTTGGAAATTGGGGGGCCAGGCGGGAGCCCATCCCAAGAGGAAGGACTCCACTTGTGCTCAGGCCTTGCCATCCTTTTATTCAGTTTGGGACACACCCATAGCCCTTAGGCAGGCAATTCCAGTAACAGACTATCTTATCAGTAAGGATTTACATGACTGTCTGGTGGGGACATTGCTTCGGCTACCATTGTCTGGACTAAACAGTGGGTGCATAGCTCTGACCTTTGCCAGTGTTCAGGGGTCACTAGCCTTCCAGGTTCCTTATTCACACCTCTCTGCTAGTGAAGACAGTGGGCGGCTTCCCACAATAGATAGATTGACTGACTTCAGAGAGGAATGGAGAGGGAGAGAAAGATAGAAACATCAATAATGAGAGAGAATCATTGATTGGCTGCCTCCTGCACCTGCTGGGGATCAAGCCTGGCAGCCCAGGTATTTGCCCTGACTGGGAATCGAACCATAACCTCCTGGCTCATAGGTCGACACTCAATCACTGAGCCATGCCAGCTGGGCAATAGGAGGGCATATTTAATAAAACAAGCATGTCTATTTTTGAACTTGTGAAAGCACAGTAAAACCTCAATATAACAGACTAATTGGGCGAAGTGGTGTCTGTTAAAGCTGTAAGTCTGTTATATAATAAAGTAGGTGTTCCGAAGGCATATGTTAAAAAATTGGCAAATAAGTTAACCTGTTTTTACTTATATACTAGTATACACATTGGTGTAATTAAAATTAAGTATGCATGAAAAGTTTAATGTCACAGAAAAGTTTTCTATGTGTATTACAGTAATTTTACATTTATACTGAATAGGCCCAGTAAATGTGTCCATTCACCAGTCACCTTGAGTAAACAAATTCACATGGCTGGGGCAAGGCTTAGTGCAAGTCAAACATTGGGCAGCAGGGCTTGAAACTGCTGCAAAACCCTGGAAGGTGTGTCTCAGCGAATAGAGCATCATCCTGTGTTCCGAAGGGTCTCAGGTTTGATTCCTGGACAAGAGCAGGTACCTGGGTTGCAGACTCAATCCCAAGTCCCAGTCTGGGTTCTTATAGGAAGCAGCCAATTGATGAATTTCTTTCACTTCGATGTTTTTCTCTCTCCCCCTCTCTCCCCGCCTCACTTTCCCCTCTCTACCTCCCCCTCTCCCACTTTCCCTCCCTCCCTCCCTCCCTCCCACTCTCTCTAAAAATCAATGGGAAAAATAACCTCGGGCCCTGGCTGGTGGTTCAGTGGTTAGAGCATCGACCTGTGCACCAAAGGGTCTAGGGTTTGACACCCGGTCAAGGGCATGTGCCTCAGTTGCAGGTTTCCCAGCTCTGGTCAGGCTGCATGCAAGAGGCAGCCAATCAATGTATCCCTCTCATGTCGATGTTTCTTTCTCTTTCCCCCTCCTCCCTTCCTTCCATCTCTCTCTCTAGAAATAAATGGGAAAAATATCTTCAGGTGAGGATAAAAGAAATCCTCAGGTGAGGATTAACAACAAAAAACTGCTACAGAAAGTCACGCCACACAACAGAACCAGTTACCTCGAGAGGCAGTATGATCAGATCAGTATGATCATCTGCTAATCATTCACCAAACACTGTTTATCAGCAGTGACTCTTGGATGTAATATGTAGTTGGCTATAGTTGTAGGTATGTAATATTCATGTTGGCAAAATTCAGTGTTTTTTTTCTACATATGGCCTATTTGCTGAAATTTGTTAAAAATAATACAAAAAACATCTGTCAATTTAATTATAAGCGAATCTTAGTTAAAAGTATTTTTAAATTAACAAGGTGTTAATTTTCACATATGACATACAGACCAGAAATTCTGTCCATTAAATCCGGTCTGTTAAATCAAATTCCGCAAAATCAAGTGTTTGCTTTATTTTGAAATGTATAAAAGGAAGCTAAAGTTGGGTACATGGTCAGCAAATAGAAACATGGCCCATAAAAATAGGAAATGTTTTTAAAACTAAATTGGATTCTCCTCCACAATGCCAGGCCCACTGCTGGCCACAGAACCCCCAGGGTAGAGCAGGACCTTGTGCTACTTACTCTGGTTGTCAGAGAAAACTGTTGGCCTGGTGGTGTGAGTTCCTCTCCAGAGCCATTTAGTAGATGAGAGCATTGGAAGTAGGTTTCAATTATATCTATTCTAGAGGCCCCATGCATGAAATTCTGCAAGAGTAGGCCTTCCTTCCCCAGCTGCCAGCACCAGATTCCCTCTGGCATCTGCCCAGGCTTCCCTCGAAGCTCCGGATCAGACGTATGTTCTAATTAGCATATTACACTTTTATTATTATAGAAGCATATTATGCTTTTATTAGATTACCCTTCAGTCACCTGGCTTTCTCCTAAAGAGCTGTTTGCTTTGATCTCTGAGATCACTATTGTGTTTATGTCTTTGAACTAAAAACTTAGGTGATTTATTGGTTGGTTCATGGTTTAATCTTTTCCCTCTGAACACATGTATATTCCAGAAAAGTGATATTGATTTAAT